AGGATAATGATGTGTCAGTACTGGAAAGAGGAAGATCGCACGCCCAAGTTCTTGAAAACCGGTCATATGCTTGACAAATTCCACAATCTTGGGAAAGATGTCTCCTTCACGCAGCAGGTTGTATAACTTTGCTAGGATTAGAGATAATTCCGGGTTGAGATATGGTGAACGGCAACTACAGGAATTTTGTCTAGGCCAGTAGCTTTCTTAAAGTCAAGGCCTTTGAAAAGTCTAGGGACTTCTCGTGCTTTGATGGTAATATTACTAACATTGTGCGCAGTGAGACGTGGGAATATAGGGAGAGGATGGTCTTTGTCATTTAACGTTGATTTAGCGGTAAAGATAGAGGCGAAGAGGTTCACCTTATCTATCGAGTAAGATATGATCTCCGGGCCATTTATAGTTGTGTGCACAGTCGCTTTACCTCTGCTCATGATTTGGTTGGTGAGCCTCCAGAGTTCATGCGATCTAATTTGTTTTTTTTCAACCTTGGTCTGGACTGCTGGTGCGTAATTGAACTTGGTATTTTCTACGTTTTTTCGGCGATTACTATCATTTCTGAATTCACTGAGGGCCGAACTACATCTCTCCATGCGATAGGTATTGAAATAGGGGTTTCGGTGGGCTATGGACGCAGTGTATTCAGGGTTGAAACAGCGTTGACTCTTTCGTTTTTGCTGGAATTTATTTTTGGGTATAAAATTCTCCTTTCTAGAAAGGATCTAATTAGTTACAAGGGTGGATTTTTTGGAGGCAGTATGCTTTAGGAAAGTTGGGATGGGATCTTCCATCATGTAAGAAACCTCTAACAGTCTGCCTTCTTGTCGGAAAATCGTTTTATGGAACAGTACATTAGGAGATGCCTTAAGTTTCGCATCAATCTGGCCACTGATTAGGGAATGATCTGACGTGCCTAGTGGAGGTAAACCTTTGGCTAAGCATTTATCAAAGCAGGAGGTTAGGAAGTGGCCGAGGCGGCTCGTCTGATGTCACATTGCGCCCGAGGTAGGTTTTCCGATGAACTGGGTTAGTTCATATGCGGAGAATTCTCTGCAATATCTGCCTTCAACAGCGGTTTTGGTGGAGTGGACTAGCTTCTTACCAACCAGTCAACTTTGATTTTCAAACATGCAATATCAATCGTTATCTTGTCCTTTTATTGTTCTCTCTCGCAAATAGTATGTTTTTCTTCTCATACTCTCTAACACTCGGTAACCGCTTGCGTCCTAGTTTCTAATAAAGCTTGACGTGAAATGATTTAAAAAATGCTTACCTGGAAAGGTACTATGCAGTTATTAATAAGATTTGAAATTAATGCAAGCAAAATTTCTCGGCTCTAGCATCACTATTTCATAGTCAGCATATGAACTATCCTGACCACCATTATACATCTGAAGTCGTCTTTGAACAGTCAGATTCCACTTTACCAGGAAAGGGACAATGCCATTATTAATAATAAAAATATTTGAAATTAATACAGGCAAGATTTTACAGCTCTAGCATAACTCCTTCATTGTAAGCATATGAACTATCCTGGTCACCATCATACATCTGAAGTCGTCTTTGAACAGTCAGATTCCAGTTTACTTGGAAAAGGACAATGTCATTATTAATAATAAAAAGATTTGAAATTAATGCAGGCAAGATTTCACAGCTCTTGCATAACTCCTTCATTGTAAGCATATGAACTAACCTGGTCACCATCATACATCTGAAGTCGTCTTTGAACAGTCAGATGCCAGTTTACTTGGAAAAGGACAATGTCATTATTAATAATAAAAAGATTTGAAATTAATGCAGGCAAGATTTCACAGCTCTAGCATAACTCCTTCATTGTAAGCATATGAACTATCCTGGTCACCATCATACATCTGAAGTCGTCTTTGAACAGTCAGATGCCAGTTTACTTGGAAAAGGACAATGTCATTATTAATAATAAAAAGATTTGAAATTAATGCAGGCAAGGTTTCACGGCTCTAGCATAACTCTTTCATAGTCAGCCTATGAAATTCCCATCCCACCATCGTACCTGGAAAGCTACAATGACGTTATTAAAAAGGAGAGCTGAAATTAATACATGCAAGATGTCACAGTTTCAGCATTAGGTCTTCATAGACATCGTATAAAGTCTTAAGTCCACCCTCGTACATGTTTAATTTTTGGCTCAATCTGAGCCTTGCCTTGCTTATAAGCTTAATGCTAATAACAAAACAAAAAATGAAGACCTAACTCCTTTCGACAACCATACTTGCTACTGAAAATCAGTTTGATTCTGGTTTGACGCATCGCAGCTTTTGACTTGTACCTAAACAGTACGAAATGACATCATTAAATCCTATATCTGACACAGATACAGTTAAGGATAAAATTATTAGGCGCACCTGAGAAAATTCAATTATTTTTTAAATGTTATGCAGATGATTTTTTAACAGTACAAGAATTACTAAAAATACAAGTCTTCTTTAGAAAGAATAGATTTCTTTTCAATTGAAAACAATAC